TAAATGGCAAAAGTGCGATCAGTGTTTACATTTTGCTTTGATGATGATGAAGCATTCAGAGCAGCAGTCACATTTCTTCTGGTGCAAACACTTTTCATGTGTTTGCATTTGCACACAGTTGATAAATCATATCCATGACCAGAGACCAATGAGGTTCGGAGCTCAGTGGTTTTGCCACTTCTTTAACAGATCTGTGGAGAGGCGAGCTCGCTCAGTAATACAAGTTTTTCAAGGTATTTTTGAGTAATATTTACAACTGTAATGAAATAACTACTACAGGTTTGAATCTAATCCAGGTGTCGCCCAGAGGCTTGGCGTAGTTATAATGGAGCTCAATGGCGTATTTATGCAGTTTGATGTAAACGAAAACTTTTTTGAAAATGATGCTGTGTGCATGATGTTATTTTGGAAAATGGAGGGAGGAAAATATTCATTACTCAACATACCCGTCTATGTGTAAACGTAGCCTAAGTGTCTTCTGTGTTGATAAAGTGCTTTGTGCAGCGGTTGTTTATCTTCCCCAATGTAAGGCTCTTTGGATCCTTAAAACTTCTTTCTCTTATATTTAAAGATCCTATATTACACCGCAAAAAGCAATATCTAGGTAAATTAAAATGACTTAAATTAAGAACATTTGACTTTATTTGAGTAGATTCAACTTCACAAGTAAAAGTATCTACCAATGCAATACATGTGTTTTCTTAATTCAAGCAACATTAGATTTTGTTTCTTATTTTAAGTGCAAATAGTTGTTGTTTTTCTTATTTTAAGTGTAGCAAGATGTATTTTCCTATTTTAATTACAAAAAGACTTGTTCCATTGGTAGGGAATTTTATTTGTTGGGGGAAATTTACTCAAATAACGATAAAACCTTTTTAATTCAAGTCATCTTAGAGGTGCTCTCTGTTTCTATGGATATGTCATTGCTGTGCCTGGAATGTTCCGTAGTATGACATTAAACAGCTCCACTTTACATTTATTCAATTACAGGTGGTTTTATAGCTCAAAAATACCTAGAAAAACACACATTCTGACTGTGAGTGGGGTTGCGTCTGCACAGATCTGACCTGTAACTTGGTCTGGTTTGGTCTCCATGAAGATAGAAAGCTTTAATACAAAACTGTGAAACATTCTAGACAAAGCAATAAATATCCACAGAGAAAAGAATTTGTTGGACACCAAAAAAGTTACACAATGCATCTTTACTTGGCTAGATTTGACTTTTTGCAGTGTAGCTCTGTTCTCTTCTGTTCTATCATGATTAAATTTGGTATACCCCAGATTCCGCTGCAGTTGGAAAAGCCTCTCCACCTGCCTGGCGCTGGTCCGGCTCTGGTTCCCATGTGGGCGAGTTCATCACTGTCATGGCCCGGGCCTGTGTGTGCTGAGAGGGCTGTTTGCTCCTGTGGATTGATGAGGTCAGATCATTCCACTGTGTGTACCTCTTCAGTAATACATCCATGTCACAGGAGGACAGGCTTTCTTAGAACTGTGGGAGGGGAGCTGCTCTAGCCCTGGGTCTTATCAAATATAAGCCTATAACGTCACATGTGTGAAGTGGGATTATACGCTGTAGTCTGTGGGAGTTGTTTAGTCCTGTGAAATACACACTTTTAAAAATCACTTTTAGGGGAAGTAATGCTCTAAAAGTTGAGTGATATTGTAGGATTACGGTTACAGTTACTCTGTTATATTTACTTGCGTAACTTTTATAGAAACTGTACTTTTCAGAGCATTTTTAGCACCATATTTTTACTCTTACTTGAGTAATTGAATATTGAAATACCATTACTCTTACTTGAGTAAAAGTTATGGTTACTTTTCCCACTCTGAGTAAGTATACAAGTGACAAATGTTTTATGTTGACAATCTGAAATGATTTGAACATTTGTTTCTTGCACCAATCCTTCAAAATATGATTTAGATGTTCTCATTTTTGTGTCTAGCCTTTGAAAATACCAGATTGTGTTGTTCTTCAAATTACATTCTTTTTTTACTCTTGGGTAATTTGTTGGACCAATATTTCATACTTCTATTTGAGTAATATTATTTTGACGTAATGTAATCTTGCTTGAGTACAATTTTTGTACTTGTTTCTATTCAATTTGTATGAATTCTATTACTACATAAAAATACATTATAAAGTGTATTGTACCTAACGTTGTGCAATTAACCGAAGTTTGATTGCGATTTTCGATTTGTGTGTCAAATGATCTCCAAACTCATATAATTGAGTTCACACGATTAAAGCTTAACAAAGTTTATTTTGGGATTTTTAAAAAAATATATAAATAAGTATATTCATTCAAGTATATTTTATTTTTTAAATATAGAGATTGTAGAACAGCTGGTAATATAGTTAATTTTAGATACATTTATGTTTGTCTATGCCTCATTTCACGTTCAAAGTAAATTTGATTAATTTGATGTTTTATTCATACTTATACTTAATGCTCTGAGGTACATAGTAGCCTATATTTATAATAATTTGAAAGTTTTGCATACATGATCAATAACAAATAACATTCATAGAAATGCTGAATAAATGCATTATGTGACAAAAAAATTAATGTTGAATAATCGTGATTTCAGTATTGACCAAAATCATCGTGATAGTGATTTTTTCCATAATAGAGCAGCCATAATTGTGCCCTTATATGAGAAATGTATGGTTCATATCTAGTACAGCGATGCTATTACTATTCCTCGAACACTCCACAGTATGGAATTAAACATATCTTCAGATGCATGTTTTTTATTGCTCAACAATTTCACCTGATTGTCTCCATGGAGTTATATAAACTTAATGCCAAACTGTGGAACATTCAAGGCAAATCTATTACATCGACAAGCAGGTGTCAGACCCTCCATCCTAAAGGCTACACAAAACACCTTTAATCACAGTTGTAAATGTGATTAATGTCATGTTGTCCAATCCTACCCAAAATCATATTTTCCAACTGAAAACAGACACAGTCATTCTTTTTCCAGCTATGACTGTTTGATGACATTTCTGTTTACATTTTGTTCATAGTAAACTTCAATATTTTGTATAATTGCAAGTACAGAGCAGTGGGCAGAGATAGAGGGTAAGTGAAAACAGACAGCATTACTCAAACATGCATGAAACAATCAAAACACAACTTTGAGTAGTACATGTACATGTGTGCCCATATTACCACTATTTTCTGTTATGTTTCCTCATCAAAAAAAAGGAAAAGTTGACTTAAAGGCTAAGTCAACTTAACTTTACTCCCTACATATGCTCCCTTTAAACGCTCATATAGTATATAGTGTTTTAATATGCATCCCAATCCTCCACTCTAAAAGAAAGATATCAAAGCTTTTCTCCATGATCCGCTAAACACTTTGCCTGGAGTGCTCCATGCGTGCCCGGGTGTGTGGGACCAGACCCCCCACCGCTCTTACCCCCCGCTCACTTGTGACAGCTCCCCGGTGCTGTCTCTGTCTGTGCACACTACAGATAACGATAAGAGGGAGGAAATGGCACAAAATGATAGTCGGGAACCAAACCATATGATATTCACTCAAAAATAGATAGAAAAGTCTGTATAAGAGCTTATCTGAATGTGATAGAAAAACAAGATGTCCGACATTAGTTTCGAGTCATGGCGCATCACTCGGCCTGATTATATTTGCATGGCTGGCCGGTAAACAGGAAGCCAGCTCGGATACAAGACTTGTCAAAGGTAATTAAACCCCATGCGCATCTTCAGATATGGTTGCCATGGGAACGTGACTTTCAGCTCTGCAAAGGGCAGGAACTACAAATATGGTTTAATAAGAGGAAATACAGCTGAAGTTTGAAGTTCTGCTTGATGGAGACGCACAAAGTCTCTTGGTGATTATCATTAGGACTGTATCTATATCTAAAGCTATAATATTGTGAGATGGGAGGAGCCAAGTGTAAAAAAGAGCTTCTTATAGTGGTAAACCCAGAATGGAAGTGTTTTTTGTGAACATTCTAGATCTATAAGACAAATATATTGAACACACCTGGTTATTAATGCTTAAATGTGGAGCACTGCACTACATTTATAGAAAATAGGCATTGTTAAAACGCTATTAAAAGAGGCACAATGTAATTTTTGTGATGTAGGGTCAGCCACCTGCGCATCTCCATTGCTTTGCCTGGAATGTTCCACAGTATGATATTAGCCTTTTCTATCATTTGGGTCAAGCAGGTGACACCACTAGGCCAGGTTACAAGCCAGATCTGTGAAGAGTAGGGGTGTAACGATATCCAAGTCTCACAATACGATATCGCCACGGTATGAACCTCACGGTACAGTATTTATTGTGGAAAAGCTCACGATATGGTGGGGAGGCTCACGATTAGGGATGTAACAATATCCAAATTTCTCGGGACGATATTTTCAGGATATACATCTCACGGTACAATATTTATTGCGATATTTTGTGAAGGCTTAAAAGAACTGTTAATATGCTACCTCATAAAAATTAAGACTTAAAAGTGCTTAGAACTGTTATGTCTTCTTGTAGTCTACACTGAAATGGAGCAAAGGATCATGGTCTATGTAGACCCCTGTCTTTTTTGTAAGCTATTGCTGCGCCATAACTTTTAATTTAAACAAAGAGACTTGTAATTTGATATATTGTGATGGTCCACGATATTTCTGTGAGAACTTTGACGATATGATATCACAATATTTTGGTTATTGTTACATCTCAAGTGAAGAGGTGACCCTGAACACACTAAAATACATGGTTTTCAAGGTATTTTACAACAGAAACCTGAGAAGATAAATTTAATGCCATACTGTGGAATATTCCAGCAAAGCAATAACCTCTACAGACAAGAAGCTGCACTCAGCAAAGTCACAGTCACAAGTTAAAGGTGCACAGTTAAAGCAAAAAATAAGCATTAGTGGCATTTTTAGTTTACTTGAAATGTTTTTTTGTCCACCCAAAAACAGTAACTTTTTACAAAATGGAAATAAAAGATCCAACACACAGGAGTGAGTTACGCCAATTTTACTTTTGGAAAAATGGGTGACAGCTGTTATGTAACCAAAAAATATGACACCCCCACCCCAGCTGAAAAGAACAAAGACTTCCCACACAGTACTGCATTCTTTTTTCACTCAGATGACAAAACCACACAGTTGACACTTTTCTGGTGCCATCAAGATGCAGAGTAGTGGTGCTGCCAGTCCCACTTGCAGCAGAACATCTAAATAGGTCACAGAAAACAGTTTTTCCCCCCAAAGGCGCAGTTGCCCAGTTTGCTCTACTGGGCCAGTGAAAATTGACTTATCTGGCTAAAAACAGGATTTAAAAACTTTCAGCCAACTTTTCACACAAGTGCATACTTAATGTGCTCTAAAAAAGTCCTATGTAATTGTACACAAAATGGATTCTTATGAGCTTTAAGCCATGTTATAAAGTTACCTCCTCAAAAACATACTTGGAGTGGTGTTTTGGTTCATTAACACACATTTGAGTAATTGAGTAAATTATATTATTAGGCTATATACATCTCCAAAGCTCAAAAATGTGAGAACTCTGCCTAAATATGCAGGGTTTGTGTGTTAAACAACTCCATGTATGTTTTGGACCAAGAAACATTACATAAATCTAAAAATGGCACAATATGCGATCTTTAAGCACCAACTTATAGGATAAAAACATTATTGACAGAACAGCAGCTGACTCGTTCAACTGTAAAACTCTAAAACAGTTTACATTAAAAGGTCCATATTTGGCAGTCCAGTAGCAGTAGACATTATTGCAACAAATGTCCCTTCAGTTGCCAGCACCCCAGTACTCAGTCCGTGTATTCTGTGTACTTTTTGGCAGAACCGTGTACTTTGCTAGCGGGGTATTTCAACTTATTTAGCGCCATTTTCTTGAGCACGGCGCGAGGCAGGTCCACGCGACACTTTTCCGCGAGCTCGACCAGGTAAATGAGCACGTCGCTGAGCTCGTGCGCCAGCTGCTCCCGCTCGGCCTCGCTCCAGCCGGGCAGCCCCTCCGCCACCTCTCCCTTCCACTGGAACAGCTCCGATACCTCGCCCACCTCCCCGATCATGGCCAGGAGCAGGTTCCGGGGCTGGTGAAACTTATTCCAGTCGCGCTCGTCGGTGAACTCCGCCTGCAAGCGCCTAATGTCCTCCATGGTGGGCTCCGAGCTGAAGGTAAACCGGCTGTTCTCAGTGGAAGTAGTAGCGCTTCCCGGCTCCGGTTGCCCGTTTTGGAGCGTCTTGAACTGCTCCGCTGCGACGCCGTTCACCTTCGTCTCCTCGCAGGTTTCTTTTCCATTTGTAGCCATCATTTTTGTTCGTAAACCGTGCTGTTTGGCTGGAGCTTGAAGCGGTGTTCACAACAAACTTCTCAACGCTTATAAAACGTGAAAGCAAATCCCGCCAGTTGAGGAGGACGGATCTGACGCAACTTCCGCCAGCCGCTTACCGCCTTTGTGAATGGGATTTGTAGTTTTTCTTTCTAAACAGTCCGCTAGACGTACGTGTCCCCGGGAATTTCTAAAAACTACATTTCCCATTCTAAACAGTGCAGCGTGACAGATAGAAGCATGGCAGCCTCTACTGCAGCCGCAAGTGAACTTCTGTGTCATTTTAATAAACAAATGCCTCGTCTGTATCATATTTCTTTATGTATATGCAGGAGAATAAGCTCATCAGCTGCAAAATGCGCCAGTCAACCACAAGCGAAGCCAAAAAGGTAAAACGACCACCTCAAAATCGATATTTCACTTGTGTCCTTTGCTGGAAACTGCTTTCAAATTTATTTCTCTGCGTCCCCACGTCGCATGAGAAGCAAATTCTGCTCTTTCACAAGATCAGATGATAGATGTCATAATGTTAAATATCTGTGTAATTCCTCAGTTGTTCAGGTGTGGCAAAAGAACGTTGAATAGTGCCGATAGGACAGATGTTTTTAGAGTGAACCTGTTTCACAACTGAAAATGGTTGTTGGATAAATGTCAAAACGTATTCACTCTTACAAAATTGTGAAAGTAACAGAATTGTACCTTCTTTTGCTTTGTAATGCTAAATAATTATGAATAAAAATTACATTAATACAACGTGCAACAATAAGATGTCCCACAATGCACCATCTTTTGCTGTAATGTACAGATCCATTGATGCCTTGTAAGTAATTGACCAGTGCTGTTTGTGCTCCTATGTTGCAGCTCTCCCCTAGAGCTGGTGGGTGTCGTGGGATTAGAGATCCACGCTCAGATTCGCGCCAACACCAAACTGTTCTCTGCCTCACCCATGCGCTTCTCTGCTCCCCCAAACTCCCTGGTCTCGTTCTTTGATGCATCTTTACCTGGCACATTACCTGTAAGTCACTAAACTCTGCTCTAAACTGGTGGTACCACTGACAGAGGTAGTTCCAGTCAAGATTAGGAGATGGGTTCCAGAGCGCTGTACTTTTTGCAGGTTATCCCAGTGGAGTGTAAAGATGGGACAAATGCAGACAATTATTATCCCTCGTGGGGAAAATATGAATAATGTATAATGTACCTCAGTCACTGTATTGTGCATAATTGCCTACAAGAGGAAGTACCCAGTAGGGCTGTACCGTAGACTGTATAAAGAAGTGGACTAAGAGATTGTGATGTCATCCACAGGCTCGATTCGGTTCCAATCAAATGAAACTCACTAACAGTTATGTTATATATAAAGTCTATGGGTTATAAATATTGATATGTCTAAATAACAGGATGGATTTCTCGGAGGTAATACGTGGAACAATATAGAGATGAATATCATGATACTTTTAAACAACACATTCATTATAAATTGCTGAGTTAAACACTTAACTGTCTGCTCACTACTGCATTAAGCCTGAATGTGCTGTGGTGAAAAGGTGACTTATTAACAGGAAAATTGTATTCTGCTATAAATTGCAGTATGAACATGAAATTCCAATTTCTACATAATCACTACAACTACATTACATGCTATAACTACATAATCAAATTTTAACCCTATTATATAAGTTATAAAATATATATCCATGTATCAGGACATGCACTGTATCAATGTACGACTGTCAGGATATTGTGGAGGATAGGCAGGATATGTATTACATATCCAGCCCTAGTACCCAGACTCTTTTCAGATTAGTACAGATCAATAAATCTTCATTGTCAAACTTTATTTTCAAGTAATTTTACAAATGATATTGTGAGGTTCAGACTTTCTAATTGGTTTAACTTCAGCATTAGGGTATTCATATTGTAATGGTTATTATTGTATATGGTATTAAACAAAAAAAACATTTGGCTTGAATCTTTAGGTCCTCAACAAGCGATGCGTGGAGGCAGCAGTTATGACAGGTCTGGCTCTTCACTGCACCATCAACCGAAGGTCCCTGTTTGACCGAAAACACTACTTCTATGCCGACCTCCCCGTAAGTCTCTCCCTCTAATACCAACCATACTGCAAGAATTACCAAACCGCCATACAAAACTGCCATTGTCCTATACATTACTCTGCTCTATTGATTTGAATGGCATAAGCTGTCCTCATGTGGCTCTTAGTTCTTCTAGTGAACCCTGGCAGCCTGATTGAAAATGTGAGGGAATCTTGCTGAAGCGGCCAAAATACTATTCACTCCAAGTGCAGAGGAGCAGCCATTAAAGAAAATTACCAATATTCTGTCAGCTCATTTTCTACATCGCACGTCTATTTTGACATTAGCCACAGGTCATTTGCTTCCCTGCTGATCATTTGAAGAGACACCTTTTAAACACATCGCTATTTGAGTCTTCACCACAGCTGGCTAACATCAGAGCTCTGTACTGTAATTTCCCAGGCACCATGCAGCTGTTAAATGGATTATGACCAATAGACTTTCAGATTCAAGCAGATCTGAACAGTATGTGGTGCTGTTATAGACTTCAACACGCAGTTTCTTTGAAGTACCTGCCATTGTTTCCTAATGGTTCCGTTACATTCTCTTTCTTGGGGTAATGCTGACCAAATAGCCCCTTTGCAGTGCTATAAAGGCTTAAAAGACATAGGAACCTAGATCTATTAAGTGTTGCTGCTAGTGCTTACGCAGCCAAGATCTTGATACACACCCAATAGTTTTCTCTTCAGTCTGCTCATCAAATAGTGAGATAAGGAGTTGTTCATTTAAAGACAGCATATTGTGCTGTCTGCTACATAGTTAGGACTCCTATGGATCATTATGTTATAATTTGAACAATATTCATCTAAAATGACGGCAAAAAGAAACAGGTCTTCCATTACCATAAATGTCATCGAAACAAAGAGTTGTGAAGTTGTCGGCACCTCCTATGGATAGCTGCATATCATGCTAGCGAGTAGTACAACGCTGCCAAATCCTATGCATATCACCAATTAAGAACATAAATTTGGAAAACAAGGTAAATACAGAGCAGTTTGAAAGAGTGAATGAGAAGTGTAATAAACTATGCCATGGTTAAAAGCTCAAAAAAATGTATATTGCATAAGAGGTCTGCTTTAATAGTACATGATAGTTTTTGTGCTTTGACCTGAAATATATGAAAATGGTGACATTTATTTCTTCAGTAATAATGATAGATGTAGTGATAGTAAAATATAGAAAAAATCAATAAACACTGAATAATAAAAATGATTTAAAAAAGCAAAACATTCTAACTAAGTAGTAATTCTTTCTGTAACAGTAGAAGCTGAAGAATGATTGTCCAAACCTTTTGACACAAGTCGTACATTCAGCAGTCCTAGTGCTAAAGTGAAGTTCCCTCTCTTCACAGTAATTGAGCTCTCGCAAGGCAAAGTTCTTCTAACCCTTAGAGCCTGAAGGTAATTCTGCTGCTATTGTGAGTGACATTTTCAGGTTCACGTGTAAAAGACAAAATGTCAAGGGAACTTCAAAATGACAGAAGCCTCTTTCAATTTTCAAATTCTTCTGGGGAGCAGGGTAATAGCGAGTTCAGCCTGACATCTCCTTCTAACGTTTGTTCAAATAGCTCATAGGTGTATTGAGCAAGTTCAGAGCAAAGGAACAGGGACATTACTTTTTGCTGCTTTGTCTTTAAAGAGTCTTTAAAGTATAAAGTAAAAAATCCTGGCATGCACACTTTCCTGTGCTATCACAATATTTTAATGTTTATACTCCTTATACGCTCCAAATTCCAAAAGGTTTTACAGGACATAATTATAGTAAGTACATCATACGTGAAACAGTCAATTAGTTTAAGATAATGAATACATTTTAAAGGAGCTTCCAACTTTGACGACTAAATTACCACCAGAGAAACAGCATTAGAAACAAATAAATAAATAAATAGCAGATTGTACTGGCAACTGAAATCTAATCAATGCCATGACACTGAATATAAGAAAAAGTTTAAGTGATGATATATTGTTAAAACTAAATAAAACAAAAATAATATTAAGGTAACTGTGTTAACTTTCAGGCAAGTAACATATAGATATATCCTAGAGCTGTGATCATGTTAAGATTTAAAGGGCCCATATTATGCTATTTTCTGATCTTGTTTATGTTGTTTCTTTGTCAGAAACATATCTGGTGTTGTGTTTTCATTTTGCACAAATTGAACACACAAAATGCTAAATTAGGATGAGTTATTTTAAGTGGAAAACACTGTGCTCCACCTTGTGATGTAGACAAGCTAATAATGCAGGATTACAACATGTTTGAGGGAAACAAAACACAACTCCTGGTATGTTTTTGATGATGTAACAACATTGTAACATGGCTTAAAGCTCATAAGAGTCAGTTTGTATAATATAGGGCCTTTAACAAAATAATACATGAAATGAAATTCAGTAAAAAAATGTATTCATCTTCTTAGAGCACCCTGTGATAAAGCAATATGATTGTTTTGAACATTTGGAAATGTTCAAATGCTCCAATTCCCTGCCTGATATAACTCTTGTTTACACCACCACATGCTATGTTTAAAGTAAAATCAACCTTTTTATTTCAAACATTTATCTAAAAGAGACAGCTGTATATTTCTATCGTCAGGATACATCATCTCCCCTCTTGTGTTGAGTGCACAATCTCTAAATTCCGCCTAAAATCCCCTCCAGAAGTGTCGGGATTACCGCTGGTTTCCTCTTGCTCTCAGCCGTGTTTACGCAAGATTGCATCACCTCCATCGGATCCATTCCCAGGCGTTGACACACACAGCATGGACGATAATGCCAGATTACACTTCCTATCTGACGCCAAATAACTCGGCGGCGCAGGCAGGGCGGCCCCAAACCCTCTTTTGTTTACTCCTTGGCTTTAGCTCCATCTGCTACTCCGAGAGGTTAGTCTGCCCCTCCATAGGCCAATAGGTGAAGTTCATGACATTAGAGGATTTTATGGTGTCGTTCCAGATGAAGGTCTATAACTCTATGGGTGATTGTTTGTTTTTGAAGGAAATCACCAAACAGAAAATCCATCTACATACACTACCAGTCAAAACATTGGACACATTTTTTCATTTATGTTTCGTCTTTATTTGCATGATTATTTACACTGTTGATTCTCACTGAAGGCATCCAAACTATAAACGTAAACACAAGGAATGCAGTACAGGAAAAAATTAACTCAAAACTCCAAACTTGTTTCAGATTTTAGATTTTGAAAAATAGCTATCCTTTGTTTTGATCATTGCTTTTAACATTAATTGGCATTTATGATCCTGACCTGACCACCTTGGATTGAAAACCATTTCAGGAGACTTTATTGTATAGTTTAAAGGTGCACTGTGTAACTTTTCTGGTGGAGGGTTTGTCACCTGCTTATTTCTATGGATATGTGTTTGATCTGCCTGGAATGTTCCACGGTATGACTTTAAACAGCTCTACTTTACATTTATTCAGTTCGAGGTAGTTTTATAGCTCAAAAATACCTACAGGCATTCTGACTGTGAGCAGGGTCACTTCTCCACAGATCTGATCTGTAACTTGGTTTGGTTTGGTCTCCATGAAGATAGAAAGGTTTTATGCCATATTATGAAAAAATCTACACAAAACAACAACATCTCCAAGGAGAAAAGCGTTTGATAGACCCTCCACTACAAAAGTTACTCAATGCACCTTTAAGCAAAGAGTGGCTACTTTGAGGAATTTGAAATCAAATTTAAATAAAATATTTACTTCAGCTATTTAAATATGTTATCTTCTGTGTGTAAATGTAGAAAAGAAAAACTAAAGAAAAACAACTTTGAATGAGAAGGTGTGTTTTGACTGGTGGTGTATATTGAACTAGTTTCTCTAGTTTCTAGTTTATTGGTTCATTTGAACAGGGAGCATGAGTAAACATATTCATCTCATCAAAGGAGATGCTTTACACTAGATTTAGCTGAAGCTAGTTTCCATCTGCTGTCCCTGGGCAACTTGGCAAACGATTAACCTTAATTAAGGTGAAACAAACCTTTGTTAATTTATGCTGACACAGAAGCCAGATGTCAGTTTTAGTTTTAGGCCTACAGAGATATCATAAATCAGGTCAAAGCATCTGCATTGTGTTACTGAAAAGACAAACTCAACAGCACTGACCCTTCCTCTACCTACATTTTATATGTGTATATGAGATATAATAGTCTTTTGAATTTTGAATTACCGTGATAACTGCTAATTTGTCCTTACTCTCAAATTGATAAACTTTTTTGGAATGGTGTGATGCTACTTGAACCCTATCGTTAAACAAGCTTAAATACGCATGGTTTATTTGATTCAACTTTTGGTGTAATCAGTAGTTGTAAAGCAGAGAACACGACTTGGGAAGCACGCCGTTTGAAAAATACAGTTGTAAATTGCCTCGTACATTATTGATATGGTCCACTAGAAAGCCCTGATTGCGTTTTGTAAAACACCTCAGTCGCTCATTAAATGATTAATGGGGTTGTCTGAGTGGTGTTCCTTCTTCAGAGTTGGAATGGTAGCAGAACATGAGAGGGGCAGATGAGGACAGGTGACAAATGGCCAGTGGAGTGGTCTCTCATTCACTGGCAAAGAGCCCAAATGAACTACTTTGAATACTGCTTAAAGTGCGTATGACAGGTTTTCTCCTTTTTATATTTATGACTTGTTTTTTGTTGGGGTAGTACCTGTGGACAATATTTATCATGGCTTTACATCAAACAAGAGGCAGTTTGTGGAAAAAAGTTGAAAAGTGCAAAAATACAGGAAGTAGCACTGAGTACTACAATAGAATCCTTCTACTTAACTAGAATATCATCAAAGCCCAGACCATCCAAAAGGCAGGGGTAATTTCTTTCTTTCAAAATAAATATCTTTTGTCATTTATTTTTATAAGGCTACGTTCAGACTGCAGCCTGAAGTGACCCAAATCAGATTTTTTTGGCCCCTATGTGACCTGTGTCTGATCATTTGACAGTCTGAACGACACAGATCCGATTTTTTCAAATGTGACCC